TTTCTAAGGCGAGTATTATGGGTTGAATTGTGTTCCTCCCCAAAATTCATTTGTTGAATTCCTAACCCCTAGTACTTCAGAATGTGACTGCACAGAGAAAAAGATTGGAAAGAAAGAGACTAAAACATTAGAAGTGGTTAACTCTCTACACTGGTGAAATTATTGGACATGGACACGTTTATATAAGTTTTAAATAAAAACATGTATTAATTTAGGGGGAATGCATTATTGTTGCTTAATACTTTCAGTAGAGTGGTGTGGGCGGGCTGAATTACTGAGAGTTAAGGAGTAAATGGAGGAGATAAAGTGGGTTTAGATTACTTTCTCAAGAAGTATGGCTGTGAATAAGACAGACTTAAGCAAAAGCTTAATGAGACAGGAAAACCCAAAACATATGTGGCGGGAAGGGCTTTCAAGATGGCAAGGCCTGAACAGTTTGACAAATTAGACAGAAAATACCCTGTAAGTGTGTATTGTTTTGAGACATGTATGATAATTTGCCTGTACAAGAAATAGCAGGAATTTTATAATATAATTTTTAATTAGCTTTGAGGTATTTCTCACTTGGTCCAAATATACTAGTTGAGAACCAAAAGGTAATTTTCTCAGCTGAGTCTTAACTGGGTCAAGAGTCTGACTTTCCAACAATCAAGAGGTTAGAGATGCAGTGATTAAAAAAAAAAAATTTTTTAAAGGACTTCTAAAGAAAAATGCTGTTTCATAAATACTAGCTGAAATCTGTAAAATCATGGTTAGCTTGAATCCAGATTTGTTTACTAAATTCTGAGACTTCAGAAATTAGAGGAAGACATAAAATTAGTTATATTTCTTATGTGAGATATTAATAAATTGAACTTATGTCCACAGGCTGAATTTAAAAACACTCAAAAAGAGTTTACATTAATTCCTTGATGATAGATTAAGTATACACTAAAGAAAACAAAGGCTTTGAGGGGGTTAGTCCCCAACCTTCCTGGAAGGGTATGGGATGACAGTGATGTTATCATATCCCATGCTGCTGTCTTTGGGACTGAATATGAGGCTAGAGGAAACATCAGGCAATTCACAGGTCTTTAAATTCCCAGAGATGACTAATGTGGGTAGTTGGTGAAACTGACGAAGTATTGGATTTGGTCTGTGACAGGTGAAGACATACCTATCATACAGGCTTTAGCAGGGAAGGACTGTCAGATAGGTAGCTAAATATAACTTTCTCAGCCTTTCTCGATGAGAGTCTGGAGTACATATTTGGAAGAGGTTATGAGGGGGAAAGTGATGAATGCAGAATGCTATGGTTAATTAATGAAGCATAAAATTGGAAAGAGACATTAACTTGTCAAGAAGGTGCAAAAGAAAAGACAAAAGGGTAGGTTTTGCAAGAACAGCCAGGATGTATCAGAGCAAGGGAAGCAGTAGGTGACATAGGTCACAGGTCAGGAGGGTGATCACCACCACCTGGATGGAGCTGATATTCACAGAGGTGCTATTGAGTTCTGAGGCACATCTCTCCGAGTGTGTGTGAAGGCAAGGTCTCAAATGAGCAGGAGAACTATCGGAGAAGAAACTCATTTGGTGGCTGTCTCTGAACACGGAAAGTGTTCAGAGAATTCAAAACAGGAGAAAGGTAACCAGTTCAAGGACAAATGCAAATCAAGGGTAGAATAGGAAACATGGGAAGAGGGGTAGAGGGAGCAAATATGGATTGAGGGTCTCCTAGAAAGCAAACAGAAACTTCTGATATAGCTATTGTGATACCTCTGTATTAACTCAAGCTCTGTAATCCAGTTGCCTCAAACTTTCTGGTCAAAATGTACATTAACTATTTATGAAATAATATATTATCATGAACAACTTTTATACTCAATTTACAACTATGATGGAAGATTTCTATTTTCTACTTTATTTATTTCTACATCAGTTGAGTTTTTATAAGTATATGTTATTTGTATAATAAGACAAAAATAGGAAAAATATATTCGAACAGTGTTCGTTTCCATGAATATGCCACTTGCACCCCCAGATAATCCTTATGAAGAGGTGTGTTCATGTAAAATAGAATGTAGCAATTACGGAAGAACTAATATGTAATAAAAGTATATCACTGAGCACATCACACTCACAGGAGAGTAACAGCACACATTTTCCTTCAAGGTCGTTTTAAAACATAACCCCCATCCCAAATTATATAAAAGAAGTATGACTCCACTGTTGCTCACACATATACAAACAAATCTGTGACAATGAAGGTTTAGAAGCTCAGATAATTGCTGTGAACGAAATGAGCAGGCAGAGGTCCTGCAACTCTCCAGCCCATCCTACTTAGCACTAGTGATTTGATTGTTATCTTGCAGGCCACATGATTTAAATTCCCCAAATCTGCCTGTGGATTTTTGTTGCAATCCTTCATTTAGTCTAGCTCAGTAATTCTCAAACTTCATATACATAATGACCATACAGGGTAACACACACAAAACCATGTATCCTATACTTTATGACTAATGTAAGATATATTCACGTGATTTTTCTTGTGATTAATTTTTGTCTTGCTTGCTGGTTTTATAATGACCCTGTTCTTTTATATAAGATGAGATTTGGCTCTATTTGAGAGAACTATCAGAAACATAATTGAGGATTCTCTGTGCCACCTGAAGAAAATTTACTGTGGTCCAAATACCCTCTCCACCTTTCCAAACTAGTAGTATATGATAAATGCTTAATTGGCATTTAGCCTGATAGGAATCTTACAAAACATAGGTACCTATCATTTATGTTTTCTAATGAGAGATGTAGTCTTGTTTGATTAATCAGTCAGGTCTTTTAAAATAATAACTTTAAGAGCCGGGAGCGGTGGCTCATGTCTGTTAAATCCCAATACTTTGGGAGGCAGAAGTGAGAGGATTGCCTAAGCCCAGGGGTTCGAGACCTGCCTGGGCAAGTTGGTGAGACCTCAACTCTGCAATAAAAATTAAAAAAAAAAATTAACCGGGCATGGTGGTACACACCTGTAGTTCCAGCTACTTGGCAGGCTAAGGTGGAAAGATTGCCTAAGTCCCACAGGTCGAGGCTGTGGTAACGGCGAATATTCCACTGCATTCCACCTTGGGTAACAGGGTGAGACCCTGACTCAAAGTAACAACAACAACAACTTTAAGAGAAAAGTTAGAGAATTTGAATGTAATCTATGTAAGGGTCAAGCAGATTCTTACAGAATAAGCACACACTTTACAACCCTTTAAGAGATGAATGAGGCGGTAAATGATTTAATGAGTAAGGTAAATGATTAAGGGAGGATGGTCTGCCAGATACATTCCCCACCCCTGGCGTGTGAGAGAGAAGGTGATAAAATGGGATGGAGTTAGGAGCTCATGTGAGACTCAAGAATTAGGTAAAGTCAGGGTCCCCAGGTTGGTCGTGCAAGTTGTATCCTGTCTGGCTGTAGGGGAAGGGGCAGGAGCCGTAAGCCTGGATTGTGTTCCCTTGTGTGAGGACCGAGTCTGAGGCGTTGAGTGTTAAAACAAGGGCTGCCTTTTCTCAATATGCTCCAAGGCATATATAGGCCAGTGGGGAATGCGGAGAGGATACCTGCTTTATACATTAAACTTTGTACAAGTTTAAGGGCCAGTTACTTAAGCTAACTATTTCAGTGGCAAAATGGCTGTGAGGTGGATAATATTTTAAACGCCACTATCAATTTTCCTACTCTAAATTCCTCCCCTCTTGTCTGTTGGAGAGGGGTGGGTAGCATTCAAGCATATATTCAGTTCTCTGAGATTTCCATAATTAAGGGAAAAAATGGAACTGGGCAGGAAACCAAAGGTGACCGAATTATTCTGGCTTTTGTTTTACAAAGAGTCTACGCATTTAGGGAAGGAAGATTTGCAGAGATTTGCAGGTATAGACAAAATATCTTGGTAAACAAAGGGGAGGCAGATTTCCTTGAGCTGTGGAAAAGGGAAAGGGGTGCAGATGAAAACTTCAGAATAAAAAATAATGTACTGGGGTGCTGTGAGTGTGCCATTGCACTCCAGCCTGGGCGACAGAGTGAGACTGCAACTCAAAAATAAAATAAAATAAAATAAATAATGTAAAATGAAGAAGCAAATTTACCAGAATATAAATTCTGAGACTCATATGTACTGAGACTCATATGCCTTTAAGTGAATATACCAAAATAACTGTATCAGAACCATGGCTCTTGCTTACCACATGCCAGGCTCTGTGTCAAAGTAGATTCACACCTATCCTCCCACATAATCTTCACAATAACACTGCAAGGCAGGTGTTGTTATCATTGCATTTTACATTTTAAACATCGTGGCTCAAGGACACAGTTGGTAAGTAGAAGGGCAGAGATGCAAGCCCATGCCTATTTTTCTTCCTGCCCTACATACCTGTGATTAGTGACATATACTTAAACTCAAGGATAAAAGTAATACACTGGGGTTCCCAGAAAATTTTTAAAAATTTCTCAGTTCATCATAGCATTGGGTCTGTCTCATTACTGCAAACAAAGTACATAAGTGATACTGATGCTCAGAGGAAATGCTCACTCATTGCTAGACCAAAAGGAGAAACTTCTAGACAAAGAATGGAAGTTCCCAGGTCTAAAGAGAATGTGATTTCAATTTGCCACCACATTAGACTTACAGAATTTGGCTCAGATAACAAGAGTCTCATCCCTATATCAAATTTCAGAGGTCAATTCATCGGGGCAGTCCTACCAAGTCTGAATTACTCCTGTGCATATCTACATGCTATTAGGCTAGAAAGAAGCTTTACACACACACACACACACACACACACACAAACACACACACACACATGAGTATATATGCACACGCACATATACAACCAGTCAATTCCAAAATTCCCACCCAAGTTTGAGCAAAAACCAGACCCACAGTAGTTATTTTAAAAAACTATCTAATATTTTTCAAAGACCATAATTTAAGTATGTCTATTCAAGGCTTTGGCTATATGGTATGGCATGTATCAATTACCTGATTGGGATCAGGATCAACTTCATCCCAGTTGTGAGTGACATGGCCTTGGTCAACGGATTCAAAGGGCTTGTGAGAAACCGAAGGGAGAATCCTATATAGCCAGCTAGGGGGAAACAAAAACACACAAGACACACAAGGCTTAGAGTAATGCTGTGAGTGATACACAGACTGGCTCAGGGAGTACCATCAGGAAGGCAATGAAGTCAACAACAATCTGTGGGGTTTAATGTGAGAAGCAATGACACAGCATCACTTTTAAATAGCCATCTGCGGCCCAGGGCCCTGGCCTCTTCTCACCTTTTCACGCCGCCCATCACACTTCAAATAGACTCTGGCTCTTGGTTATTCCCATGCTGCCAAAAAATAAAGAATTGTCTTTCCCAACAACTATAAAAGAAGAAGTACCTTGAGGGATATCTGTGCAGGAAAATCCAAAGAAAAACATTAGCTTATATACATTATATTAATAGAAGGTGAAATCTTGCTCTGGAAGGTAAGAACAATGAATCCTATGTGGAATGGGAAAATATGGGTGATATCTTTGTTATTTTTGAAATATAGATCAATCTTCTCATTTAAAATGATAAAGTAATATATGCCAATGATAAAAATTTTCAAGTAATTCAAAAAGCCCTGAGAGGAAAATGGCTCCTCCTCCTCCAATTTCTTCTGGGGCATTCCTCAGAGCTTAATAATTTTTTAATATATTTTCTCATATATCTCCAATGCATAGATAAGAAAAATTGTCAAATCATTGTACCACTTTATTCTGATGCAAATAATGCGTGAGAGTGTCTGATAATCCACATCTTCACAGATCTGGGTATTATTAATAATTTTAATCTTATAGGTGTAATGATTTTAGTCTTTGTGTTTCCTTTATTTTCAGTGAGGTTGAGAATCTGTTTATTTGTTTATATGCCCTTTGTAATTTTTCTAGAAATTACTTGTACCAGTGCTATACTGGTTTTCCATTGGGTTCATTTGTTTTTTTTAATATTAATTTGTAAGCAGTTTAGGAAATTAACACTTATGTACTCCAAAATTATAAGAGTAAGTCTCTACATTTTATTATAGTACACTTATGGCTTTGTTTTTTCTTTTTTCTTTTAAGTTTTATTATCTGTATTATCTTTTAAAGCTTGATTATCTTTGGTGTGAGCCAAAGACCTCTGCCAGGACCAGATCTCAGGCTTCAGAAAGAGAAGGAGTATCTGATGAAGGAATTCTGAAGGACACCAGGAAAGAAACTCTCCAGAAGTTAAGAGGGACACTGACACTCTCTTAGAGGGATGCAAGTCATTTCAGAGGCTAGTTACCCTGGTGGGGTACAGAGGACAATGGAACACCAGACCTGTATTAACAGGCTCTGGCCCTTTATGCCCAAAGACAGTCTACCTCAGGGGTGGAACTGGCCTGGCCCACTGAGCTATCTGGGAAGTAAACAGGCTAGTTTTGTTTAGTTTCCAATCTTGATGATGTGACCTCAGACCTTGGACTTACTAAGCCTCTCCAGCTCCCAGTAGTATATGAGGTTGAGAGCATGTGTGTATGTCTTAGAATCAGCTGTGCGATTCTGGGCAAGTTATTAAACTTCTAGAGTCAATGTTCATCATCCTTATCTCCTGGGATTGTTGTGAGAACTCAAAGAATTCACATACCTAAAATGCCTGGCACACAGTAGGTGCTCATTTATTGGATGCATGTTGAATTGTCTTTCTTCCCTTAATCATTTGGGTTTTTAATCACCATCCAAATTTTCCACATTCTCTCTCTTGACTCTTGCCCTTTTAGGACCCAAAGGATCAGTCAGCTAACTAATCTGATAAAAATTAATCCCTGATAGATAGATAGAATCTCTAATAGTTTTGTGGTGGCCCTGCACTCTGTGGTTGAAATGAGTATGGTGCCCAACTAAGAATTTCAGGATGGCCCACTTATGGATGGGGCTGGTCCCATCTTACCACTGGAGATTTTTAGCATTTTCACAAAATTCTTGTGGATACCTTTGGAGAGTTATAAACAGATGGGTGCACCATACCTAGTGTCCCTTATGTTTTAGCTGAGTTTATAAAACTCCCCAGGCAGCACTACATTGCCCTGGACAGAGATTTAATTCTGATTCAGGGAACAGTGCCAGCTTCTTAATGAAATGCCAACAGCTCCTTTTCAGCCTCCTGGAACAGAGCTCACTCCTGCTGGCTGAAGATATTGCTGAATAATAGGGGCAGGCAGCAGAATCCGGAGACCAGGTGGCCTGTTAGGGAATGGCCCATAAAGTCAAGAACGTAGTCATGGAGGCCAGGTTGTCATGTATTAGAATGGACAAAAGTTGTCTGTGTACTTACCTTACCCTGTCCATTTGGGCTTACAGAGAGAAACATAATTAAATAGCAATAGAATTAACCCCTGTTTTTTTTTGAGTTGGAGTCTCACTCGGTCACCCAGACTGGAGTGCAGTGGCCGCTCCTGGCCACTGCAGCCTCGACCTGCTGGGCTCCGGAGATCCTTCCACCTCAGCCTTCCGAGTAGCCGGAATTACAGGCAAGTGCTACCATGCCCGGCTGATTTTTTGATTTATTGTAGAGATGAGGTCTCGCTGCCCAGGCGGGTCTCGAACCCGCGGGCTCAGGCAATCCATTCACCTCAGCCTTCCAAAGGCGCGGGATTACAGGCTGAGCCACCGAGCCCGGCTAACCCCTGCTTTTTGACATGTATAGGAAACTTTTCCTTGTCTCTTCTTCCCTCCCTCCACGCACATAACTTTTGAGAGAAAAGCAATATTGACACTGACATTGTAACATAGCCATATGTCATGCTCAGTTCTCTTGACAGCCTCCTGGGGATACTCTGGAATTGAGGCAGAAACTCTGCTCTGTATGGTGGCAATAATTATTGATGGTGATTATAATAATAATCATCTAACATTAATTGAACACTAACCATGTAGCCAGCAAGCACTTTACACACATCCTTTCCTGAAATCCTTTCCTGATTATCTCCGTTTTACAAATGAAGAACCAGAGTTCCTGAGAGGGTAGATGATTTGTCCAAGGCCACACAGCTGGAAAAGCAGGAGCCAGGATTTAAACACAGGGATCCTGCCGCCAGAGTGGGCATGATTAACCACTATGGTAAGAAATCTTTATCATTTTTGTGTGGGTCATTTTACTTTTGTACTCACTATCTCGTTTGCTTCTCAGGAGGACCCTGTGGTAATAAACCCAGGCCCCCCTGCTAAACAATACAAGAGCACCTGCCCTCCTCCCCAAATCTCCAATGTCAGCGGCATCCCTCTTCACAAATGCCCTCGTCTGAAATTCCTACAATTAGACACTACTTATTTAAATCACACTTATTGCCTTCCAAAACTATAACACTTACTGCATCCACCCTGCCCCAAAGGAGTTAATCAAGAGCAAGTTCATTGACCTGAGGAGGACAAACTTGGAACACGACATACTGTGTTAACAAATGTGCTGGTTTCCAGAAAGGCAGATTCCAGGGTAAAAGCCTTATTAACTCAAACCACAAGGGGTCATAATACATGATCTTTCAACTACCCAAGCTTCAATTATCCAACATTTTCATGTGAAGAACATCATGCTTTAGTCAGTGGAGGAAGATACTTCTCTGAATCATTTATAATTTTGACTTAATCATTATAAAACAAAACAGGTAAGCCAAAACTCAACTGGTCCATCATTAGAGGAAGGAGCATTTCTTTCTGAGTACAGGTGAGAATTTGTAAATAGAACTGGACATGTGTGTTTCCCAGGCTCTATGCAGCTGTTCCCTCATTTTCTTCCATTAGTCACTTGATTCTAGCGGGGCTTGAGGCCCATCCTCCCTGATTATGACCCAAAACATAGCTTATAAGAAGCAGGATCTTGGGCAGCTCTAGCTCCCACAGTCTATAGGTCAGAATTCATCTAATCCTTGTACCTTCTCTTATTGGTGCTCCGTGGACAAGTGAAAGCTGATCCCGAGAGCTGCTCAGCATACAGGTTGTAGGGGCAGACCTGAGGATTATTCTGTAACCAAGAAGGCAATAAACAATATCACTCCAGTCCCAAAAGCATCCCACCTGCCCATCAACCAACTCAGTAGGGGAATCCTGCCCTGAAGGAGAATGCTCTGAGCCACTGCACATGACCATCTCCAACCCATGTATACTTTTTTTTAACACCTTTTTTTTTTTTTTGAGACAGCATCTTACTCTGTTGCCCAGGCTGGAGTGCAGTGACACAGTCATATTTCACTGTAACCTTTAACTCATGGAATCCAGCAATCCTCCTACCTCAGCCTCCTGAGTAGCTAGGACAACAGGTGCTCATCACCATGCCTAGCTAGTTTTTTAATTTTTTGGAGAGATGGAGTGCCACTATGTTGTCCAGGCTGGTCTTGAACTTCTGGCCTCAAGTGATCCTGCCTTTTCCTCTCTAAGTGCTGGGATTATAGGCATGAGTCACCATATTCAGCTGTGTAATAACTTTACATGTGACTTTTCCCTCAATTATAAAAGTAATACATGCTTATTGTAGAAAATGTATAAAATATGCAATATCATCTCTTATCTTACCAACCAGAAGTAATCCAGCATTAGCATGTTGGTATATTTCTTTCTATTCCTATCCTCCAAAACAGAGATCCTATTGGGGATACATGTAATCCTGTAATAATCAAGTCTTTTATTCCTTTTTTAAAAAGGAAACACTATATCATAAATATTTTTTATGCCATAAAATATTCCTCAAAAAGTTTTGATAAAATTTGTTTGCCACAGTTTTTGCTATTGCAACAACACCAGTGTGAACATTTTGTGTATATTTTTAAAGTACCTTATGATTTTTCTCATTATTGTCACATATTATGCTATTCAAGGGAAATATGAAGAAGTTCCCTTAGCCCTGGACTTCAGAGATCCTTCTGGAAGTCCTACAGTTAATCTTACTGACTTGGGTTGGGTGCTTTGCCATAGGTAACCACCAATCCAATTTTAATCTTTGTATTGTGATTGTTCTATATTCAATTGCCTAATGATTTGTGAAACTCCTAGACATTTCACAGGCTAGATCAGAAGAGCCATGGTGGGTGGAGACACTTTGGCCTGAAGGCTAGTCATTGAGTCATACTCAGAGCTCTCCAAGCATTTTGTTTACTCATACCTGTCCTTCTGGCAGGGAACCCGGGCAGCGAGGGTCCTCTGAAGCACACTCATTCCCAAATCCAGAAATGTACTGCACATAACAAAGACACAAATACCACCCACCATTAATGGGATTTTAAAGAGCATTTTACAACATTGGCAGTCTATGAAAGTAAGAATTTCTATATGGCTATATGTTTGCGTATGATGTTCCATATATAATATCTTTGCTATGTCTTGGCATGTGAACCATTAAAGAAACTCAATATGCTTCCTGCAGATTTTAAAGACTTCCAATTAATCAGAAGAAGAGTGCCGGATATTGCATGGACTTCTCCCTTACGTATACTTGGCTGATTTGTGGGCTTGTTTTTAATTATTCTGTCCCAAGAACATGTTCTTTAATTCTGAGTCCATCTGGGAGTTCCTGAGGAGGGAGACCGCACAAGCATCACCTCAACTTCAGAATCTTGCTGACAGGGCCTAGGTTGCAACCTCCTTGAGCTTGGGGCTCTGTTCCCCCTTCATACTCTGAAAAGCAACTGGGAAGAGGTATATGGATCCAGTGTGACAGCAAAACCCTTGAGGGGAAGCTTTTAAAACTAACCTTGCTGCAGACAGAAGCCTACATGATCTGACTTTTTTATGGAGTGTGTGTGTGTGTGTGTGTGTGTGTGTGTGTGTGTGTGTGTGTGTATGAATATATACGTGTGTGTATTAATGCATGAAAATTGAAAAGATATGGATGCCTTTCAGAAGAACTGCTAGCACAGAATCTTTCCACAAAGGCAAAATATAGCCTACTCTGATTGCCATTTCTTTACACCCAAAGGGGGAAAAAAGAAGTTAAGGAGTTTCTCAACAAGGTAAATTATAGGGAGCCCCCGAAACTTACTTATGCAATACTTAGCAGCCTGTGAGTTTTCGTCCATTGTTTGGCTGCTTTAGTAACTCAGAAGCTCTATAAAGACTGGGACTCTGGCAGTCATGGCCCAGAGAAGGTACTCAATAGATGATCTGTTGAATGATTTAGTTTTTCCACTTAAAGTCAATTCTAATATTAGAGAATGTGTGCTGCTGTAGGTGGGGTTGGAACCCCTTTGGCTGTAACTTAAATACCAATTGATTTCAGCCCAGGATATTGAGAGTGCAGTCTTGCTCAGCAAGCGAAATGCCACCATCTGAGCACATCTCCTTAAGAGATATAAGAAGGATGATGTGGGTGGAGGGTAGGCCCTCCGGTTCCCGGTGGCATGGAGATATAACATGCCTAGATGTGTGAGCGATGATCAAGCTAACAGCCGTCCATATTTGGAGGAAATATCAAATGTGAAATGTTATGACCTAGAAAGCAATGGAAGTGAAATGATTCTTTTTGCCTTCGGAGACAATTTTTTGGGTATATTTGAAAATCTATCATCACAAAAAACACCAAGTTATATACAGTCTTGTTAACAGCAGCTGCATGCAGCTTGGAATGAGATCTTTGGAGAAATGGCAGAGACCATTCATCGTTCCGATTCTCCAATGAATGCAATTTTCTTTTCTCAAAATGAATCTCATGCTCACCCTCAACAGGATTGAATTTGAGCTGCTGAGAATTGGTAATAACCCCAAATTATCTTCAATTCTGTGAAACGGAATTTTAGACCAGTCTGTGACTGGAGCCACTGAGTATTACAGTGCCTTCACTTTGTTCAACTGCCGCATTGTTTCTCTCTGCAAGAGAGGAAGGAGGGTTTGACTACAGCTGAGCTTTCTGGCGGGCACCAGCGGACTGACTCATTAACCTTTCCCATTCTTTGCAACTGAGCAGAGTCAGAGCTGAGTCCAGGGTGATGTGTTTGGAACAAGCAAAAAGAGAGTTAGTACAGGTGATTCTCAAGTATTTGATTCAGGCTGTGCTTTAAAAAGTAGAAAAGAAAGGAGAAAGAACAGCTGGTGGTTTGGAAGATAACCACCCGAGCACTGAGAGGTGTGAGTTCTGAATTAGTGTCTCATCTGAGCTGCAGTGCACTGACTAAAGAGGAGGGTGGAAACTGCTGAGTCACTATCAAATCAGTTGGTTTTTCTAATCCTCTGAGGCAAAAATCACAGATGAGTTTATTAAAGCTCATCTGCCACGTCCCTCACTGCCGAAGGCATCTGAACTGAGGAGGCAGGATTCTGCAGCTGCTTTCTCTAGGCTTTTGAGCTCAAAGATGAAATCTGAACTCTGCTTTTATCGGCTGTGAAAATCTAAGCATTCAAATCCAGCTGGCTCAATGACCATGTAAAAATACATTTTATACAAAAATAAAATTTAAAAAACGAATATTAAGCAAGTGTGTTTGTGTTTTCTTCAGTTTGGATTTCTGAATAATTTGATCCAACACAAAAATATGAGTTCATTTCTTTCCAAGAGAATTGTAGGCATACTTTCTAAATGAAAGAATGCCTTACTGAGCTCCATGTGACTTCAGTACCATCAGTTCTTTGGCAGCTTATGAGTATACAGCTTTTTAATTCTCACCTGGTCCCCAGGATATGATTTACTTGTCAGAGTAGTTTTATGAGATGCTTTCTCCTGACTCTGATTCTAAGTAACACCTGATGGGATGAGCAGATGGTGCAACTCACTTCCTTTTACTGGGCATGAAGGAAGGAGAGAGAAGTCAGGGCAGAGTTGAAAACTACTGTTACCTTTTTTCCCTATGGAAAAAAGTCCAGGATTTCTAGTTAACCTTGATGGGAACACAGAATACAGATTGTTAGTGATACTTGCAGATTATTGCAATAGGCTGAAGAATGGCTCGGAAAGATGTCTTAATTCCTGGAACCTGTGAGTATTACCTTACGTAGCAAAAGAGACTTTGGCAGAGGTGATAAGTTGAGATGTGCGATGGGAGATATCCTGATTATTTGGGTGCACCCTAAAGGTAACCACAAATGTCCTTATAAGAAGGCGGCAGAGGGAGTTTTGACTTATAAAAGAGGAAAAGGTGATATGATGACAGAAGCAGAGATTCAAGTGATACACTTTGAACATGGAGGAAGAGGGTCACAAACCAAGGAATGCTGGCCGCCTCTAAAGTAGGAAAGGGCAGGAAAACAGCATCTCTCCTAAAGTCTTCAGAAGGGATGAGCCAACGCTGACACCTTGATTTTAGCCTAGTGAAACAGGATTCAGACTTCTTACCTCCACAATGTCAAGAGAATAAATCTGTGTTGTTTTAAACCAATAACTTTGTGGTAATTTGTTATAGTAGCAACAGGAATTTAATTATGTAGACCAGTGGGTCTCATTTCTGGCTAATTTTTAGAATCATTCCAGAAGCTTTAAGTACAGATCCAGGGTCAGTGAATCAAGGATTTGGTGATGAAGTCCAAAGCCTGCATGTTAAACAAGCTCTTCATTTTAGAATGAGGAAATCAAGAGTTGAAGAAGTTAAGCAGCTTACTCAAAAATGTAGGGTATTCCATTTTAAGTTTAATTTTATTACTTTATCCGTTGATTTTTCTTACCCTAGTTATGCTTTTGTGTAGATATGATTTCATTTGTGACTTGTGTTGACATACCCATTAGAATGAAGAAATAAAAGATAAGAAATGTTCTTTAAAATGTTATAATGTTTACTGGTTAGAATGAGGATGATGCAATCTGATTTTCTGTGTTTGGATTCCTGACCTCTGGAGCTAACCTTTCCTTGTGGGGATTAGAGAACAGGCTGGGATGAATGCCTTTGAAATTGAGAACAAAGACTGCATGCAATGTACATTGGTTAGTGCTATGCATAATAAGTTGTTTAAATATTACAGCAGGATAGGATCATAGATATAATTTATTTATAAATGATAGGATGTTTCCAACTCTTGCTGAACTTCCTAGTAGGATTTTCATTAGAAAACAAAGTTTCTATGCACTGTCCTTTTCCCAAGGCTTCAACTACCACCACTGACATGATGACGCCCACATCTATTCCCCTAGCCCTGCCCATCCCCCTGAGGTGCAGATCTATATATCCAACCATCTCCTGGGTATCCCATGTGGCTGACCCTCCAGCAACTCAAATCTGGCTGAAAAACTCTTGGATCCCAAAACACGCAGGGCTTTCTGCACGTGATGTGCTTTTGCATTCATGGTTCCCTCTGGCCTCATCCTCTTTGCTTTGCCAATTCCTACTTCTCTCTTAAGACTCAACTTAGAATGTTTCTCTTGACTGTAGTTCCTCTCCTGTATTAATCTGCAGCATCATGTATTAGCACGTAATAACTAATGAGTGAAAAAATGAAAGTTAACTCGCGGGCATAAAGAAACAAACTTTTTTTACTCCAGTGTTGAGTGTTTCCAGGATCCCTATCAATTAGGGAGAGATTTGATTCTTCAAACTCAGCATTAGGGCAATGCTCAAACCCTGTGTTCTGGGAAGAAGCCTGAGGGGTCTGACTGACCTGTTTTGAGCCGAGGTTCTGGGCAGTTCTATTCAGTTCCACATGCATGTGTGGGGCACTGAGGTAAGACTGGGTTGGGCACTAGGCACGGTTTTAGACAGTAAGGACAGACTCTCTTTATGACTCCTTTTTGAGCCTGGGTTTGGATTCAGACAAACCCCAGGTTCTAATTCACTTCCCATCATTTATTAGCAGTGACCTTGGGGAAGTCACTTAGTCTCTCTGAACTTTATTTTCCTAACTGGTTAAATAGAAAAAAGACTGGCTATATTCCAGATTTAATTTACAGTTAAAATGGTCTAGCAGCTAACAGCACATAACTTATATGTACTTTTCAATTGCACATTAACTAAAAATTCTAGGAATTATTTCCTAGAAGAGGTGCTAAGGCTTCTAATGGTCATTGGATGATTCTGAGCCTCAAAAAAACAGAATAGATTAAGTATATCTAATTGGCTACTGAAAGCAGTCCAGGAAGCTGCAACAACAGGAAGGTATCAGAGAATAAGGGGTAGGAAAGATACATAGTGAGAAATGTGTGTGTCCATTGGTGGAGAGGAGTCCTTAGGATATTTATACATTCATAAGACATTATTTGAAATGAATAAATGCAAGAGATGACCTATAAACATGTAATCTCTTTATCACGTGTTTTCCTTGTTCCCCAGCCACAGCCATGCCCACAGACACCACAGCAAAGTCTCTGAAGTGGGGTTTGGGCCAGGGACTCTCTTAAGTCTTTTTCAACTCTGACACCCTGGAGTTCTCAGAAGCTTCCACAAATTCTGGCTGAAGATGCCATCGTGAACTTACAGATGGTTCTTACCTTCAACTCTGCCATTTTCCTTGTGCCGCTGGTGTAATGACTTCAGGAAAACCAGGCCTAGAGAGGATATGAAGCCAAAATCCTTCTGTTTCTCCTGCCAACCACTCTCTGGATCTTGTTCCTGCTGCTTCACTGTGCTTCAGTTGTCTGCAGGTCACTCGAACTGGTGGCAAGAATTGCCCAACTGAAACATAGGGAGAAAGTCCAGCAATCTTATTTCCTAACAGCCTAAGCAGTTGTTGTTATACAGGTTGTCCCTAGAAGTGTTTGCAGAGGCCTGGCTCCTCTTTACCTAATGTAGAGATTGGCCAGTTATTTGTTCCAGGTTTTTAAAAAAAGGCTTATTACAAAAGGTGGAGAATTTGAAGCTATCTGGGAAAGGAACTGTGGCAGTCAGTGCCTGCTATGTGTGGCAGAGGATTCTCTGTTCAGTCCTGGCTCAGGTCAGAAAGGAACAGGGCAGCGTGCTCACTCTCCTGGAGAGCAGAGAGAAAATGACCCAGATGTTCAGCAGTCCCAGATTTAACACTATGGGTAAGATGTTTACACATTGCTGCCTGAAGACAGGGACCGGGGCTAGATAGCTCTCTGCTGGTGCCTCCCAGGAAGGAGCTCAGGTTCTTGGGTGAACCATTCAGAGCCTGAAGCATTTCACTTCAAGCACACTGAGATATTTACTATTGCTCCTCTTAGTTTCTCAACATACATTTAGCGTTCTTATAAATTCCTTAAGAGTTTTGTTCCCTAATGCCTTTATACTTCTAAAACAGACAAACAGGTGACTTTCTAGCCGCCTTCTCCATGACTCCCTTGTCCTTCATCTCGGCTACTCTCCTTATTCATTGGCAGGTATTAACTTCGTGGCTAGTGGTATTCAGGAAGGAAGAAAACCTAGGAGTGTCTGCTTGTGTCAGATTTTTTTTCCACAGATGTTTACCTCATAGGCTTTATCACAACTCAAATGCCAACAGACCAGGAGGGAAATGCAAATGAGTAAAGCAGGCTAGGTGATATTTCAAGATAAGACAAAGTTCTAATTTTTAAGTACTGGCAACTAGAATAAATAAGAGAGAGACGGAGATAGAGAGAGAGAGAAAGATACAGGGAAATAGAGATAGAGAGGTAGAGAGATAGAGATAGAGAGATGGAGAGATGGGGGAGACACACACACACACACACAGAGAGAGAGAGAGAGAGAGAGAGAGAGAGAGAGAGAGAGAGAGAGAGAGAGAACGAACCAACCACTGTGGTAGATTGCAAAAAATGCCCCAATTCTTCCTACCCTTGTATGTGTGTGTGCCCTTTTGAATGTGACTTTGCAGCTTCTCCTACCAAGAGATGGAGTCTTACTCACTCCTTGAATCTTACTTTGGCCAATAGCAACCATGGCGTTAGCAAACATGACACAGAGACTTGAAAAGTGTTTGTACCTTAGGATTTGTCCATTTTTTGCAGCCTGAGACCACTATGCAAAGAAATGGGTCTGGCCTCCAGAGGCCCAGACAATGGCCCCACGAGCCCTGCTCTAACTTCCAGACATGAGAATAAGGCAATCTGGCTGCCAGATAATTGCAGACACATATGTGATCCCAAGGGAGACAAGTAGAAGAACCACCGGTTAAACCTGGCTCAAATTGCTGAGCCACAGAATTGTGAGCAAATAAAATGGTGAATTTTATACTACTAAGCTTTCAGATGGTTTAAGCAGTGAACTGATACAATGATGGAGTTAAAAAAAAAGTGCAGATTTGAAATGGCTACGGGCTGCCAGTTTGAGACCCTCTGCTTTAGATAAATGGGTCTAAGCAACTTCCAGAGGTCCCCAGGCTCCAGCACACTGTAGTAGCAGCAGAGTGATTTGCCTGAGTATGGGTGCTAGCAGAGTGATCCAGACAAAAAAGATATGTTGATAGAAACAAGTGACAGGTCTGTGTGGATTGATGCCTGCAGACCAGGCAGCTGATAGGACATCTCAGCATATGTCAGCCTAGAAAGATGACATTGTGGTATTATATAAACTTCTCTGGAATTTATATGCAGACCGAGGAGGAAGGGGGTGGGGGGTGGAGACCCCAGCTTTACTGAGGCTAAGTTTTCACTGTTTCCTGAAGTACGAAGACTCAAAATAAAAAGTGAATCCAACTAAGATCTCTCTTGCGTATCTGAGTTTATGAGTACCTTGGGTCTTGAATCTCTATCGATCTTGAATGCTAGCATTTGATATTTAAAAAAAAAAAATGAATGGGAACCAATTAAAAACAAAGAAAAAACTTCATTGCCTTCTTTTCCCATAAACTTTCTATGCTATTTCCATTGAACCAGCTTTGAAGGCAGATTTAAGAGATGTTTCAGTTCTTTGCTCAGGTGTGAGAGACTTCTGAAGGAGTAAGAAAGTGATAACAGATCCTTGACTGGATGAAAATTACTTTGAGGGACCTGAAAATACTTAAAATGAATAAATCTATTACCAAACTATAGGGATTCCTCCAAAATGAGTTAACTTTATTTCCTGTCTTTTTATGATTTAGTAATAATGATTTAGTAAAACAAGTATTTGAAGATAACTTATAACTACCATGTGCCAGGCACTGTGCCATACACACATGAAAATAAATAACACACAGGTACTCATAGCTCTGGTTCTATGTCTAATGGTTCTCCATTTTATATATTTTTATTTTAATTTTTAAGTGTTTATTTTTATTTTAGAGGTGTGGAGTACATGTGAGGATTTGCTACATAAGTAAACTGCTTGCAGGTAAAGTTTGGGCTTCTAGTAAACCCTCTCTCCCCCTGGTAGTGGACATGGTACCGAGTGCGTAGTTGTGTGCCCCTTATGGTTTTCCATTTTAAATAATGCAACAATACATTCATTCATTTAACAATTTTTGAGGACCATTGCAACATAGTGTGACTAGTTCTGTGATAAGGAAGAGCCTAGAGTGCTATGGAAGGACTCGGAGGTACCAAGCCCACACTATCAGGGCTAGGAAAGGGTTCCCAGAGATCATGTCTGAGCCAAGTCACATAGAGTGAGAGTTGGATAAAAAGGGCATCGAGCAGAGGGAACAGTGTGTACAAAGGGAGAAAAACGGAAGTGCAGGCATTCAATAAACTGTGTTTAGCACAATGGACTAAAATTGCAGAGTGGAGGGGCCTAGTCAGAAAGGTTTCTGGGGTAGCAGGGGAAATAGAAGGAACCTTCTGGGCAGGGTGATCAGCAATCACAGACACCCAGTGGAAGGAGTAGGAGCACCTGTGGTGGAGTAAGCCACATATATACTGGACCAGAGCAGGATCACAATCATCAATGCCATGAGCAACAAAAACAAAGCTGCTAAAAACCAGGGAGGGGAGGATGGATTCAGTGAACCAGTATGGGGAATGTGTGAGGCAAAGAACCTGAAAAGCAGCAGGAATTGGAGATCCCAAGTGTCTGTCTGCCCGTCTTAGATTCCAGCACAAGATAAGTTTACTCTCTGCAGAAGCTCCAGATGATGAGATACCAGGAAGCATGGTAGGACCAAAACTAAGTGTAATCAGTGGTGATAAAACCTCCAGCTCCCTTCTTCTACTCCATTCTTAGAGAGCTATCCACAAGTGATTTACCCTCCAGATGGAAGACTGAAGGTTCTTCTCTAGGACAGTGGCGTCTAAATACAACACAACTGGATAATTATTAGATATGAGAAATACAAGCTTTCTGGAAATACTGCTTTTAATGAGGTAGATATCCCCCTTTGATGCATATATCCATGAATGAATAATCTTATTTCTATAATAAAACAAGACAGGATTCAGTACCATTTCATCCTATTTTTTTGGTTTCACAGAAATAAGTGTTGAGAAAATGTGTTCACATAAATTTGTAGATATAAATGGAAGACATTTTGTTACACTAATACTCCTGAATTAAATATCAAAAATCACAGTGATCTATCATTAAACATTATTTTTAATAATCTATCAGTCAACATCTCAGGTTCTTCTTTGTGATGAAAGCAAATAACTGGAACTCTGATTAGAAAAGGCTTCAATATCCAGCTATTGGAATCATTCATTTTAATTAAACATTACATTTTTACTTAGAGGTGCTTTGTCTAACCCATTTACTCAGAAAGGGCTGGGGAAATAAAAATGTTAATTTTATACTCCTTTGCCTGTATAATTATTTTTGATAAATTTTTTTTGATATTTTGACAGATGATATAGAAGCCTGACCATGAAAGAACATGCCACAACCTTGTATATTTCTTACCAAAATTCTCTTTGCTTTACTTTCAGGAACTCTGCAATTAAAAAAAAAATTGTGGGGAATGGAGCAAGCAAAGTCCTTAAATAAAACAAATATTTACAGTTGTCCTTTTGTTGGCATCCCGAAGCCATTTAGAAGACATCACCCTGGGGTGATATACCAGAATGCTACTGAATTACTGGTAAGATGTAGTGGGAATGGGTGATTGTGAAAGTAGAGGTGGGAAATAAAATTAGCACTGAGCTGCATTCACAAGCAGATCAATAGTAACAAAGATGTACATATGGAAACTATGATCTAGAAAATGATTTGCTTAAAACTATCTGTACTTACATTCTTTGCTGGAGGGTACACTTGTACCCTTCCCCATTTAAGACCACTGACCCACACCAAGAAAGTGGAAAACATTACATCTAGGAAGCTGGGAATTTTAACAGGGTAATGTGAAGTAGTGTGTGACAGACCTACAGATCAATCACTCCAGAATGGAGTTTTAGAGGATAGAGGACTCTAGGACAGAGGTCTCCAAGAAAAAGATGGAACTGAAAGACTAACTGATATACGAGGACATATTTGGAAAATATATTCCAAAAAGCCTGGAATATATTTATTTTAAAAATTGTATTTATTCTTACATGTTTAAGTGTCAGTCACCTTAAAGTACTATTTGATGCAATACACCTATGAAGATACTTTTTCCACTACTCAAAACAGTTTTTGGACTTGTCAATTTTGATGCCTTTACGTGCTTCTCCATTTTTGTTTCACCTCTTCCACATTGGCAGAAATTTTCCCTCTGAGGACTTTTATCATCAGGGAAACAAACAAATAAAAAAGCCGCTCGGGGCAAGATAGGGTGAATAGGGAGGGTGTCACGCCATTTTTGGTCAAACGCTGCTGAACACTCAGTCTGGTATGGGCAGGTGCTCTTGTAAATCAACCATCATGAAATGAGTAAATGTGTTGCAAGAATCTCCAAAAGAAAAAAAAATTTAACCTGAAGCCAGATGCAGCTTCTCATAACACTAGCTGATACAGTGATGCCAACGGGTTCCTTAGAACACTTACCTAGCAGGGGAAGCCTGTACTACAATTGTCCTGCCCTCCAAAGAATAATTCTGGGTTTTTGGGGTCCCCTATCATACTTGATGATAGTAAGCCAGGTTTTATATCTTGGTTGAAGCTTGGAGGTTCCGTTTTTCACCAATACTTACTGATGATCTTGATAAAGCTTTGAGACTAGCTAGCTGAGAAAAACAACAACAACAACAACTACAAACAGTACAAGAGAGGGGGCATGTATAAATGGCAAGGCATTGGTTAGACATAAATATACCTGGATCAGAAACAGATGCATCTAGAGGGAAGAAAGTGGCAGTAATAAAAAAGATAGCAGTACATCAAATATAAACATTTCCTGTTTTGCCAGTAGGCGATATGACAATCACCTCACGGTTAACTTTGCATGTATAACCTTTAGAGGGAAGAAGTGGCTCATTTCATTAAGGTGAGATCACATGAAGGCAGCCAAAGATGAACTTTGATGAATCTATGGTCTCTACTGTTTGATAAATGTATTAGTCTTTCTCAAAGGCTAGATTCTGACCATCTGCATCAGAACACCCTGGTTTGCCTGTTAAAAATACACAATCCTGCCTCTATCCTATACATTTAGAAAGGTGGGGAGGGGGCTGAGGGGAGCGGTGAAATCCTAGAATTTGTATTCCAAACAAATACTTCAGAGGATTTTAATATACTTTTGAGTTTGAAATCTAATGATTTAAGTCCTTAAATGAAGGTGCACATCAATTGTAACTGGAAGTTTGATCCCTTTCCTACTCTATGGAGCATAGGCAAACATACTGTGAAATATTTGAGACCAAGGGCTAGACTTCCTGGATCTCTTCCTTCTTCCACCACAGAGATATAGTTCTGTTTGGGGACTATGGAGAAATAAATTTTTAATTTCCTTTTTCTCCTTTCCCTAAAACAGCATCCTACTCTGAATTTTAACAGATATTAAATCAATGCAGACATCCTCTTAGACCTTCAAACTTCTTAAAATAGGATGCTACCTATGTTTTAAAAAAATTCAATTAAGCCATCATCTATTAAATACCTATACAAGGTTCTACCTATGTTCAGTGCTACAGCACACACTACTGAAATGAGGACTCAAAAACTCTGATTATGGCAGCAATTAGCTCTTTACTTCAGTTGGATGGCTCCACACATCAGTTCCATGAAGTCCATTTTCAGGATGGACAAAAACAATATTGTCAGGGCACTGGCATCATATCACAAATGTCTCAAGTTTGAGGAATTCTAGAATCCAAGCTAAAGCTAATATGGATCAAAATCTTTGGGAGCAGCTTTTTTTTAGAGCATTGAAGGGGAGAAGAGACTTTTTCTCTCACCCATTGCTAGGTTCATGACTAAGGCGCCTATAACAAAAGGCAGATTAACAAGAGGCAGGCATACAAATTTATTTAATATAAGTTCCACGTGACAGAAATGAAGACGCAAAGAGACAGAGAAACCTGTGTATTTTCATGGAGAAATATATTTGGAGGACGAAAGAATATGATATAATGGTAACATATTGGCGAGAACTTAGCATGGCCTGTTTCTCAGTTTCTTCTTGGCGTCTCTGTGTCTTTGAGGATAAAGGATACCTCTGGAATGAAGATTTTATGGTTTACTTCAGGAGAAGGTCACCTAGGTTTTATGGCCTGCTTTAGGGGAGAAGAGGTGAGGAGAAGAAGGTATGAGTGACCTTCCTGCTTCTGCTAGTTTCTCAAATACAGGGTGCTATATATTGGGATAGGGTGTCCTGAATCCCATCAGAAGGTGGAAAGACCAGCCCAAATCCTTAGTTGAATGCCAACTAAGGATCTTGTCCATCCAGGGGACAAATGAGTGGTCATATAAAAGGTTTCACATCTGGTCATCTCTACAATGAGTGAGAGAGATTGGTTAGAGCTCTAAAACACAACAGGAAAAATAAAATTGTTCTCTATTGTTATCAACTTATCCCATCAAGAAAGAAAATTAAGATTTAATTAACACCTTAAAAAAGTATTTTGGTATTTATACTTATTATCTAAAAGCAATTTTTATGAGTAGTTCTCAGGAAGTCTTAGTAAATTATGCTTCAAAAACATTCTTTTGAAGAATTCTAGCTAATAACACTGATTTGGGCAAATTTGCCGTAACATTTATTAAGGAAAAAAAGCCTTATTTTGCTGCTACTATTACTTGCAACACATTTACCTTAGATTATGAAAAGTTATTTTTCTTAATAAACTATATAACTCACGGAATCAGGTCAGGCAGCAAAAAATGAGGTTGAGAAATACTGTTATTTTTTCCAGGTTGATCCTGGAGCCTTCAGTGAGGGGTTACTTTTATTTATTCTTTTAATAAGGTAGAAAATAAAAAAAAATTAGGATGAATTTTTTTAATTAAAGGAATGGAAGACAAAGAAATAAGAAAGAAGGAAGTTTTAAATTTATTTTCAAGAGTGGGAATACAAAGAGCTTTAGCTGGTTTAGGTTTCTGAGTAGCATTTAAATTCTACCTCCCAACTGCATAGCCTCTGCCACAACAAACTTGTGACAAATTCCATATACAGATCATGATTTTCATAGTTCTCCTTTATATCACAAAGAAACCTGGGCTAGGTCTTATCAGAGGAGAAGTTAAGAAAGACCGGAGAATAGTCTAGCTGATGAAAACAGCTTTAAACATCCTTTCAATTTCACAAGATTGCCTTTTTAAAAGTACTCTAACAGATTTATTTTAATATCCTCTTTCAGCATACTTTGATTTCCAAAGCACTTTTAAAACTTAATTAAAATGGAATAGACAGTGATTTTAGTGTTTCCCCCCAGCTTTAAAATGAAAAACTGAAACTGTGTGTGTATTTATTATTGTTTTTTAATATGGAACAAAATCAGAAATGCAGAGACCTGCAGGGAGCCAGAGAGAATATGGGTGATAAGGTATTGAAGAAAATAGTTTTTAGAAACCAGATTTATATACAAAGGAAGAACTGGGGCAGAGAGGATTAAACAACCAAAAAAGATGGGTTTTAAAAAAAAAGGAATGATGAACAATTATGCATACACACACACACACACACACACACACACACACACACACACACACACACACACACACACACCACCCCCAAAAAGCTTTGGAGTGATTATGAAATCCAAGAATCCTAGTTCATAATTCATGTAAATGTATTGCTGTGGAATTTATTTTTACTTCTCTCCATAAATACATTGTTGACACAAGAATAATATTCTTAGTTTTCTGACTATAGTTAAGGGACATTTCAGGAGTTGACTTTTCCTTTAAAAAAAAAATGAAGAGGCTGTAAATCTCTCTCCCTGCCCTTGTGCAGGTCTTAGATTTCCCTCTACCTATTTGCAAACAGAAAACAGTAAGAGACTGTAGACAGCTGCACCCTAAAGAGTGAAGGAGCTGTCAATTTTTCACTGAATTCTTCTTTTCTAGTACTGCTGTTCTCTATGTATTATTAATCTGTATTTATATTTAACTCCAGCCATTAGTCCGCCTCTTCCAGCCACTGAACCATTTGCAAAGGAGAGAAGAGGGAGACAAGGGTTGCTATTATTAGGCATCCCTGTGTGTGAGAAGGAGACAATTAAATAACACCGTTTTGTGTCTTTGAAAATGACGAGATTGTTTGGGGTGGACAACTCAGAGCTAGTTAATATAACCTTTCCCCTCAAGAAGGTAAAACAATAGAGATACATTTTTGAAGTACTTAATTAAGCCTTCAGCAATGAGTGTGGGAAAATTACAGACCCATAAAAACCCTCCAGTTCTCGGCAAGAGTAAATTTTATCTGCAGTACTCTGTCACTGCTCATTTACTGCATCATTTTGACAATATCTTATATTTTCACAGAGCTTTTACATAATCTATAAACAGGGACAGAAAGGTGAGAAACGGCAAATGGGGACAAAAGTTGGACCTCTCACGTTGTCCCTTCCTTTCATTTTTCCATTAAAGAGTGACGCTGAAGGGTAACATTTTAAGATGGTTTTGTTAAAAGGCTGTGACATTAATAATTGACACAGCAAGAGGAAAATCGTGAAAAACTGCCACTGCTTGCTCACTCTTCCAAAGGATGGGTGTAGTTCAGTCATAATGAAGGCTTTTTAATGTTCCTCCCCCAAACCTTTTTCGATCAGGAAAGCCTGGAATCTGTAGGCAAGAAAGACAGTTATGTTAAGTTTCATGCAAGGAGAGTTCAAATGTTAAAAATATTTTTTTCCTTATTTTGCATTTCTGTATGTCAACCTGTTGTTCCTTAAAGAACCAGTTTTCTGAGGTTTTACTCAGAACACCGTGGAATATTAAATAATAAAATGAAATTCTACCAAAATGGGAAGCATTTGCTAACAAATTGGTGATAGTGTCATCTAAATAAAAAAGGGTAAAAGTGAAACTCATAATACTCACCTACTAGACTTTTATATAAATTATTTTTATTGTGACAGACTCTGGACATATATCTTTCTAGTCCCAAGCGAATGGTTTTCTTCTACTATTGTATAATGTAACAGTATTTCTGGATTCTTTTTGTTTCTTGGACCCTTATTTTCCCTTTGCTCTGATTTTCACCTTTTGTATTTAACAGGATAGAGAAAATCAACTGCTTGTGTCTACAAAGGGCTTTTCTCAACTATTTTTAAACCACTTCTGGAAATAAATTTTGAAATCACCTCTCTAAATATAAGAATCCTTTTTATTAAGAAAAGATAGATACCAACCTGATTACCTTCTCTTAAAAAGTACCTTTTCTCTATGACCTGCAGAAACAAATAAAGAATTTAAGGGCTTAGCACACATTCCTGGAAAAAGTGGCTAACTGCAATGGCTACTAATGAGACTAAAAGGAATACATTCAAATTAAGAGTCTTTTCAATAATGGCAAGCATTTAATACAGAGAGTTAAAATCTGGCGCTAATGAGATCAAGATTGTGAGAGTATTTCCATAAAAGCCTGCCTCATTCCAAAACACATTAATGATGCTGAATAAATGTGTCTTTTTAAAAACGTTCTGTGTAAAGTTAATCTACTCTGAAGCCATCTTGGTAAACTTCCCCAACAGTGTTGAATCTAGAATTCCTTCAGGGTGATGCCAGGTTCTATTTGCAATTTATTTATTTATTTATTTATTTTGAGTTGGAGTCTGTCACCCAGACTAGAGTATAGTGGCCGCTTCCGGCCACTGCAGCCTCGACCTGCTGGGCTCCAGTGATCCTTCCGCCTCAGCCTTCCAAGCAGCTGGAACTACAGGCGCGCGCTACCACGCCCGGCTAATTTTTTGATTTATTATAGAGATGAGGTCTCGCCTGCCCAGGTGGGTCTCGAACCCGCAGGCTCAGGCAATCCACTCATCTCAGCCTCCCAAAGGCGCGGGATTACAGGCTGAGCCACCGAGCCCGGCTTGCAATTTATTTACAACCTGCTTGGATGGAGAAGCCATTGTTGTAGAAAACTTGGTGTAGTTGAACTGACAGTTACTGTTGTGACCTGAAGTTCACCATTAAAAGGGGTCACCCAAGAAGAATAACGAAATTACTAGTTATAAAGATAATTGTTGGCACATCCTATGCAATATATCTAAACTGAATAATGGTACCAGATACAATTATAGATGGGAATGAAGTTTATGTATCCATTATCATGTGTAATCAATAAACAATTTAATTTCTTGAATGAAAAAAAGAACTACGAGGAAGAAAATGTTTTTCTTAGGAAATTCCACTTAAAAAGAAATACAGTACAGGAATTAACCTTTCTCCATAATACATACATACATTTAACTTAACCACGCAATGTCAACATTGGGCAGGCAACTTAAGCTTGGTCAATACAATGTGCAATGCAGTTGTAAGGCCTTGTGAAGGAAAGACAAACAGTGCTCTAATTTACCAGTGTGCTGAGTTATTTACACAGTTTCATTCCAGTTCAGGACAATAAGATGATGCTAGCAAAGAGTCAATAATTAGAATGCAAAGGTTTCTGACAAGGAAACATCAGAAAATCAAGATGATTATGTAACCTTAAAAAGTAACTACGTTTATGTGAAAAATAATAGCTAGGCAAGCAAAAAGAATTTTAAAGCAGAATCTCTGCAGTTCAGTGCCTTTTGTAGGGTAGGGGAGTGGTGGTGAGAAAGTACAAAAGGAGCTAGAAAATGGGTAAACATAGATTGTTTTAAGCACAGAAATTAGGTATCTTTAAAAAACCCATTTAAATCTAGTAGCTTTCACCTTTACTTAGAGAACATCAGTGGTGGAATAAATACGTCAGCAGGCCTTGTGCAATTATACCAACAGATAAGACAGATAAAAACAAGGACTATTCATGCTGTGAAGTTTCAACAAAGGAATAAAGGGAAAAAGGATTCTACAAAAAATTTAAACTCTCATAATATATAAATTAAGTTTAAAAATAACTTAATTGAGGTCATTACCTTATCAAAAAACCTGCTGAGTTTGACAGCATTGGAAGAACCTGCAGCTAAGTACCGTGGATTCGTGCAATCCTAGAAGATAAAACATAAGATTCACAATTCAAAGTTAGGAAACCTAAGCTCCTTGTTAGTCATAACTGTTCCTGTTGCACACATTTCTGTAGGCTTTATAATCTCATAAAATATTCAAATAATTTTCAAATTGTGATGCACAAAGCAAAGAGGAAACTACTAAAGGAAGATAAGGCCACTTTTTGCATTTAAGCAATTTTAGTGTAATCCAAACCAATGTGTTCATTATCAAATAATTCATAGAGGAAGGATTACTAGTATTTTATTGACAAGAAAACCAAGGTACCAACTGAGTGATCAGTCTACATTTACCCGGAAAAACCAGAAATACAGTCATTAAAAACAGTAAACACTTCACTTTTTTGTACTAGTTACTCACCAGCGCTGAACTAATTAAGAATATGCCATTCAAATATTTTTTCCTATCCTGTGAGCTGTCTCCCCACTCTCTTGATGGTTTATTTTGCTTTGCAGAAGCTTTTCAGTTTGATGAGGGCCCACTTGTCTATTTTATCTCTTATGGCATGGGCACTTGGGGTTTTGATCAGGAATTGGTTGCCAGTTCTAATTTGTGTCAGAGTGTCTCCTGCATTTTCTAAGATTCTTATAGTTCGAGGTTTTTACATTTAGGTCTTTGATCCATTTAATTTTTGTGTATGGTGATAGGTAGGAGTCCTGTTTCAATCTTCTGCATGTCATCAGTCAATTTTCTCAGCACCATTTACTGAATATGTTCTCCTCTCCCTAGTGGTTGTTGTTGCAGTTTTGTCAGAGATGAGCTGGTTGAGAAATTAAGGTTTTGCTTCTGGAATCTCTATGCATTGGTCTGTATGTCTGTTCTTGTACCAATACCAGGTTGTTTTGATTGTTGCGGGCTTATAGTAAAGTTTGAAGTCTGGAAGTGTGATACTCCCTGCTTTGTATCTTTTGATAAGGATTGTTTGTGGTCGTTTATGTTTCCATATGAATTTCTGTATTGTCATTTCCAGATCTGAGAAGAATGATGTTGGTAATTTAATGGGTATTGCATTGAATCTGTAGATTACCTTGGGTAGGATGGACATCTTAATAATGTTGATTTTTCCTATCCATGAACACGGAATATTTTTCATTTGTTTGTGTCTTCTTGGATTTCTTTGAGTAGTGTTTTGTAGTTCTCATAGTAAAGGTCTTTCACTTCTCTGGTTAAGCTTCTACACAGCTGGTGGGAATGCAAACTAGTGCAACCTCTTTGGAAAACAGAATGTCAATTTCTGAAAGAACTAGAAATTGACTTTTCATATGACCCAGCAATCCCCCATTGGGAATATACCTGGAGGAGCTCAAATCATTCTACAGAAAAGATACCTGTACAGGCATGTTTATTGCAGCACTATTCACAACTGCAAAAACATAGAACCAACCATACTGCCCATTGACACTTGACTGAATTAAAAAATGTGGTACATATACACAGTGGAATATTATGCAACCATAAAGAAGGACAAACACGGACTTTGCAGCAACTTGGATGGATTTAGAGTCTATCATATTGAGTGATCTATCACAGAAACAAAGAACAGAGTACTTTATGTCCTCACTCATTAGTAGACCTTGAACAATTATCATAATACAATAAAAAAGAGATTGGCAGTAGTGTGAAACTGCCAGGGCAGGAGGGGTGGGAGTGGCCGTTGAGGGAAACTGCTAGGGGAGGAGGTGGGCACACCTCATCAACAAGGGCAGGTGCATAATGAACATTTGTATACCTAACCCTGAATTGTATCCCATACCTTTAAAATAAAATTTAAAAAAAGGCCAATGATAAGCAAAAAAAAAAAAAAAAAAAAAAGGATATGCCATTCATATAAATAGCAGAAAGCATAAAACTATTTAGAGGGACAAAGAACAAAAGGGATAGAGATTTCTTACTCTGGATACAAGGTACTACACATCTTTTGGTCACAAAAATACAATGTTTTTGATAATAAACAATAGATATATTACTATTGTTTGGCAGAACTTTTTAAAATAGAAATAAAATGGGTCCAGAAGAGACAAAACAATCTGGAACATTATTAAATAATCACAATAATTTTGCAAAGACCCTTTACTATCCTTCTCTGAATTCCAGTGTTACATTGTTTTTGCTTCTCACCATTGACTTGCCACCTCAAGACAGAGAACTTCGATTTTTATCTCAAATGCCTGAGACCAAACTATGGAGATAATATTTGTCTTTCAGTTGCAAATCCTCTGTGACCCTTCAGAAATTACTGAAAATGTTGTTGCATTTGTTTTGTAATCTCTAGGTGCACATGGTTCCTAATGAATTTAGTAGCAATCACCTGTTTTATGTCTATGCAACATTTCAAGTCTCATATTTTAAATTTTGATCAGAAACAATACACTCTACAAAACCACACACAAACAAAAGAGACTATAACAAATTTTTCCAAGATCAGAGTACTAGAGAAATCAGGGATCTTCAAAGCCACCAGGCTCTGAATTTCAAGTATCTGCCACGACATTTCTAGATTGTGTAACACTGATTAGGTTACCATACTTTTAAAGTTGGAGTTATTCATTTGTGGAATAGGGATAACAATATTTTATTCCATGGGATTTTTTTGTAAAAATTAAATGAAATAACACTTGTCTGAATATAGCAGATACTGAAATATTCGTGTCCTTCTCTCTTCAATTAAGAAAATGCCACCTTATTGAATTTTCAGGCACAAAAAGAACTTATAATAAAGATAATTCCATATATGGATTATATAGAACTAAAATATCATTGTGCAAACTACTGTATTTGAAAGAATATTTGAACACATTTCTACAGCAGTTATGGCATATGAAACAAACCTCAAACCTACAGTAGAAATATTTTACAAATGAATATTGATTGGCTAGTCATCAGATTGGCTTATGAAAGGACCATTATCTGGGAATATGCTTCAATATGACCACTTTGAAGCAAACACATACCAGAGACAAATTTGTACTGGACATAGTAATCTTAATACAGTTTTAAAAAATAAGCAATCTTCTACCTATTTATAATTTAAACAATTTGCATTTACTCAGGCAGAGGATAATTTTTTTCTCTTTTAAATTTTATTTAAAATTGTGGTGTACAATTCAGGGCTAGGTATACAAATATTCACTGTGCAGTTACCCTTGTCAATGAGGTATACCCCACGCCTTCCCCAGGTAGATATCGACTACTATCAATCCCACCTTCTCACCCCTCCCACCCCCCTCCCTACAGTTTCCTGCCACTTTCATTCCTTTTCTTATAGTAATATGGTAGTTGTTCAGGGTCCACTTATGAGTGAGAACATGTGATACTCAGCTCTTTGTTTCTATGAGAGATCACTCAGTATTATAAACTCTAATTCCATCCAGGTTACTGTGAAGTTCATGATTTTGTTCTTATTTATGGCTGCATAGTATTCCATTGTGTATATGTACCACATTTTTTTTTATCCAGTCCTCTTTTGAAGGGCAGCACAGTTGATTCCATGTTCTTGCTATTGTGAACAATGCTGCGATAAACATGTGTGTGCAGGTATCCTTTTTATAGAGTGATTTGAGTTCTTCCAGGTATATTCCCAGTAGGGGAATTGTGGGGTCATACAGAAGGTCGATTTTTATAACTTTTAGGAGTTGCCGCACTGATTTCCACAGAGGCTGAACTAGTTTGCACTCCCACCAAGTGTAGAAGTGTTCCCTTTTCGCTACATCCTCTCCAGCATCTGTTATTTTTTGTTATTGATGAAGGCCATTCTGATTGGAGTTAGGTAGTATCTCAGTGTAGTTTTGATTTGCATCTCCTTGATTACTAGTGAAGCTGAACATATTTTCATATATCTGTTGGCTGCTCTTATGCCTTCTTTTGAGAAGTGTCTATTCATATCTTTTGCTTACTTTGTAATGGGGCTGTTTGTTTTTTTCTTTTCAGCATGTTTGAATTCCTTGTAGATCCTTGATGTTAGGCCTTTGTCAGACATACAGATGGCAAATATTTTTTCCCAGTCTGTGGGCTGTTCCCCTGCTCTCTTGATGGTTTCTTTGGCTTTGCAGAAGCTTATCAGTTTAATGAGGTCCCACTTGTCTATCTTCTCTCTTATGGTCTGGGCACTTTGGATTTTGATCAGGAATTGGATGACACAAACAAGTGGAAAAATATTCCATGCTCATGGATTGGAAGAATCAACATTGTTAAGATGTCCATTTTACCTAAGGCAATCTACAGATTTAATGCAATACCCATCAAATTACCAGCAACATTCTTCTGAGTCCTAGAAAAAACAATACAGGAATTCATATGGCAACATAAATGACAAAGAATAGCCAAAACAATCCCCAGCAAAACAAACAAACAAACAAACAAACAAACAAACAAACAAAAAACAAAGCAGGAGGTAACACACTCCCAGACTTTAAACTGTATTATAAAGCTACAATAATCAAAACAGCCTTGTATTGGTACAAGAACAGGCATATAGACCAATGGAATAGAATTGAGATTCCAGAAGCAAAACCTCAATTTCTCAACCAATTCATCTTCAACAAAGCCTCCACCACCCACTACTGGGGAGAAGAAAACCTGTTCAGTAAATGGTGCTGGGAAAACTGGCTGACCACATGCAGAAGATGAAAACAGGACCCCTACCTATCCCCATACACAGTAATTAACTCTAAATGGATCACAGACCTAAATGTAAAACCTCTAACTGTAAGAACCTTAGAAAATGCAGGAGACACTCTTATAGAAGATAATTTTGATTCCACTTTTGATGTATACATTTGTTATATTCTACTCTAAAACTACAGAAGTTTTAAGTAGATTCATACAGTAACTGATGATGCTAGCACAAATATTGTTACATTAGTTTTTTATTTGAGGTTTTATATTTACTTGTTGAATCTTTTTGACTGCCATTTCTTTTTTTAAACTCTCTTGTATCCACTTTTCCTCCTCAGTTTTTCTTCCCTGCATCCTTATGACCTCCTCCTATTGTTTCTCCTGTGTTCTTGAAGTTGTATAAAAGCCAAAAGCATGTGTGTGCTTAAGTCCCTCAACTTGTTTATGTTTATATCAGGCTATCAAGCAAAAGATAGCCTTGCCTTTGTAAGACAAGTAGGAGTCACACACACACACTAACACTCTCACACAAATGATTGTCATGGAAACCCGTAGGCACTAGAAACAAATTCAGAAATACATTAAAAGTAAGCACTGGAACAAATTAGTGTGGTCAATGTAAATTTCCCTTTGAAAATAATTTTAAAACAAAGTAACCTCAACACTTCTTCCACAAAGATATATATTTATTTAGTAGGAATCCTCTGAACTATCATGGTTCATGGCCCATGGTCCTAGGGTATTTACATTGAATACTCCATTGCGGCAGCTAAGAAAAATAAGGCATCCTCCACTGCAAAGGAGAACGTAAGAAACAATGGAAATGGCAGGCAGAAGCCGACAGTTATGGGAGTAGAGGCAGGGTCGAACCAAACACAATCCACAAATGTTGATTCACAGAGGAACAGCATCAGAATCACCTGAGTTATCTGTGAAAACGACAAAGCCCTGGTCTTCCTGTCAGGCCTTATGAATAACAAGGTACAGCTGTTGGGCAGTTATTCAAAATTCTTCATGGTACTGTTGGTAATATAAATATATAATTAGGTTTGGGTAACTGTTGGTCTAGAAGATTCCTAAGAGTTCTTTTAGTTGTAAAATTCTAAATGTCAGTTGAAGGATAATTAAGTGGGAAATAGGCATACTGTAGAGAACAGAATCTAAGTGCCCTATTTGATATGTTACCTCAGTTTAGTTACTTCTCCCTGCTTCTTTCTTGTTTTCATCTTTAAAAAGAGAATAAATAATAGTAGCTACCTTATATGGTTGATTGTGAAGATGATGCATGTATGACAATACATGTAAATCACTAGACGTGTTTAGCACATAACTGCTTAATAAATGTTGGTCATTAGTAATATTAGACCAGCACCAGCCGGGCTCGGTGGCTCAGCCTATAATCCCGCGCCTTTGGGAAGCTGAGGTGAGTGGATTGCCTGAGCCTGCGGGTTCGAGACCCGCCG